GTGTGTGTTGTGTGTATGTGTGTGTGTGTGTGTGTGTGTGTGTGTAAGTGCAGAGATGGAGAGGAAGAGAGGGAGAAAGAATTATCACTGTGCCTGGCACATACACAATATCACAATGTGATAGAAAGCAAAAAAATAACATTTTCCCACAGGAGGAAGGATTAACAGAACTCAGCACAGCAAGAGCAATTTTGTCCTTGCGCAGTGGGTTTCTCTGACTCCCTCCAGGACCAGATTTGAGTAGAAAGGACCAGAAATCCATTTTCCTTCCAACACCCTTCAGCACCTTTGCTTCCTTATCTGTCTTTCTCACAACATTCGTATAATATAACTGCTCCACTGAACTATTTGGTTTATGTCCTTACCTAAGTAATTCTCCAAGTCATTCTACCTTTTACTACCTGTTACTCAGCTTCCTCAAGTTAAGTCACCCCCTCCCCATTACTGCCACATTTCACTATTCGCCTCATTGCCTGGAGCTTGATTTCATCCATGTTCAATTATTATTGATCTTAAAAATCTAGTTCAGCCCAATACAATGTGTCCTAAGGTAGATCCCAAGGCAAAAGACCGACATTCATGGAGAAGTTGGAGATGTCTCGAAAAAGTAATGTACCAATGTTAGTTTCAGTTTCAGCAAATGTATCATCTAATGTAAATTGTTAACTTCAAGAGAACTTAGAAGATATATTGGAACTCTCTGAATTATTTTGTAGTTTTTCTATAAACTAAATTATTCCAAAATAAAAATGTTTGTGCACTTTTAAAAATTCATACTGTACTATTCCAGAAGACTTCTCTCCATAGAATAATCTTTCTCTTTCCCCCCTCTTCCCTTTGGATACTTATCCTATGTTCTTCAATTTTTATCTTTAAAGTAAGGAGTGTATGTATAACCCACAATTAAGAGACAGTTGAGGAAGATATTTCCATGATATTCCATGACTTTTTTCCATAAGTATGTGCATGTATGACATGTGTGCATGTGTGTTTAAAAGAACTGTGAGTCTCCAAAGAGCAGAGCTAAATGCAACCATTCTATTTCAAGTCTTTCCTCTTTTCCTATTTCCCACTAAGCTACACTAACTATAGGAACGTTACATAATTTTTGTCATAGACATTTATATAGTTTGCATAGAAAGTGCCTATAAACAGCAGAAATTGTCTCAGCTTTAAGATTAGAAGTGATTTTTAAATATGTCA